GGGGGGGGGGGGGGGGGGGGTGCCCCAGCCCTTTAACAAGGCTGTGGTTTGTCCCCTTCTTAAGAAGCCATCACTAGACCCCAACCTGATGGACAACTTTCGTCCTGTCTCCAACCTCCCCTTTTTGGGAAAAGTTGTTGAGAAGGTGGTTGGATTGCAGCTCCAGAGGATCCTGGATGAAATGGATTATCTGGACCCTCTTCAGTAAGGATTCAGGCCTTGTTATGGGATGGAAACAGCATTGGTCGTGCTTTTTGATGATCTCTGTTGGGAGCAGGATGGGGGTAGTGTGTTCATCCTTGCCCTACTTGATCTCTCCATGGCTTTCGATACCACCGGCCATGGTATCTTTCTGGAATGGCTCTGGGGGTTGGGAGTGGGGGGCACTGTGCTTTCCTGGTTCATTTCCTTCCTCCGAGGCTGTTTTCAGTCAGTGGTGCTCAGGAACGAGAGGTCCGACCCACAGCCCCTGCTTTGAGGGGTCGGTGCTTTCTCTACTCCTGTTTAACATCTACATGAAGCCACTGGGTGAGATCATCTGTCACCATGGGGTGAGATATCATCAATATGCTGATGATACTCATACATCTCTGCCCATGGTGGGTTAAGTAATGCCATGACTGCCCTTTCTCAGTGCCTGGAGGTCTGAATGGGGAGCAACAGGTTGAAATTGAACCCTTGCAAGATGGAGTGGCTTTGGATTTGGGGCTCCTTGATTCTGGAAGAATTACCATCTTTGGTCATGGATGGGGTGGCGCTGCCCCAGACAGACCTGGTGTGCAATCTGGGGGTTCTCCTGGACTCACGACTCCTGCTCGAAGGAAGGGTGGTAGTCATGGCCAGGAGGGCCTTTGCACAACTGCAGGTTGTGCATCAGTTGTGCCCATTTCTGGACCAACACGTCCTTGTCACAGTCACCCACACCCTAGTCACCTCCCGCTTGGACTGTTGTAACATGCTCTACATGGGACTGCCCTTGAAGAGTATTTGGAAGCTTCAGTTGGTTCAAAATGTAGCAGCCTGCATAGTTTTGTACAAGTCCAGATTCGCGCACATGTCACCTCTTTTGCGGGAACTGCATTTGCTTCTGGGTTGTCAATTTGCTTCCTGGTCCAATTTAAAGTGCTGGTTATCACCTTTAAAACTCTACATGGCTTGGGGCCTGGTTATTTGCAGGATCACCTTTCCCCAGTTACATCAACCCGGCCCACCGGGGTATGTTGTGGGTCCCATCACTGAGGGAAGTATATCTGATGGGACCATGAAGAAGGGCCTTTTCCATGGTGGCCCCTTCCATGGTGGCCCCTTCCCCTTCCCTCAGAATGTTACTCCTTCTAAGATTGGCCCCCACCTTCCTGTTGTTCTGGAAGGCCCTGAAGATGTGGTTTTGCCAGTGGGCCTGGGGTCCCCAAGATGAAAAGGAGATGATCAAGTGGTTGTGTTTGTGTTTTTGGCCATCACGGGGGATGGGAGTTGGGTTTTTTGTATTGGGGATTTTATTTTGTAAGCCACCCAGAGTCACTGTGTGTGAGTTGAGTGACCATATACATTTGTAAAAAATAAAAATAAAGATAAAAAAATAAAAATATTACTATTAAAAACCCTAGTACATCAAAGGTGTCATTGACTTAATCTAAGTGCCAGATACCTGATGGAACAGTGCTGCCTTCACCTGCTCACAAAATACTTGCAGAGTAAGGACCATCCTTAGCCTTAGGTGGAAAGTGTTCCATAAAATGGGGGCCGCTACTGAGAAGGCTTGTTACCTGACCCATACCCATGAACATTGCAGGAGAGGAGGGGAGGGACCAGCAACAGGCCTTCTCTAAATGACTGTGCAGATGGCACATTCAAGTTTGGCAAGACATTGCAAGATATCTCCCGGTGCTGTGCTGTAAAAGACTTAAAAGTTATAACCAGCACTTTGAATTGAGCCTAGTAGCCTTTTGGCAACCAATGCTGTGATTTTGGTATAGGTGTAATTTTCTGTCCATTGACAACAAGGAATTGGATTCTTAATCTGAGTTTGTTTGGCCCCATCCAGATCCTTATAGTCTCCAGACACTGGTTTAGGACTTTTATGGTATCTCTGCTCAGCCTGGGATGTTGTTGTATATATGGGTATCATCCACTTATGGATAACACTCTACCCAAACTGGTGAATGAGCTTATCCAGCTTTTTCATGTAGATGTTAAAAAATATGGGGAAAAGCAGCAGTCCTTGAGAAGCCTTGGAGTTCCTTGCAGACTTATTTTGTTGCTGTAGCTATTGATTATAGGGGATTCATGCATTTTGATTTCATTGTGGATAAGTGTGGAAAGATAACTTTCATCCATGCCTTCACATTTCATCTTGAACAGGAGGATAGGTGAGAAACACATGAGAAGAAAAAGCATAGATTCTGTAAACTGTTCTGATTTTCTGTGAGTCATTTGTAGTAAAATGCAAAGTAAAATGTAGTAAAAAAATTGTTAAAATGCAATACAATTTTGTAGGCTCTTCTTCACCTAATACAGAAGAATAAATCCTTTTGACAGGGGGAAACTGGGTTGAGTACTCAGGTTTTTCAGTGATGTGCTAAAAAATGCACCCCCAAATGTGCTGGAAGTCAGGACAGAACTACACGTGATCAATTGTATTCAGGATTAAATTAAAATTAACTTCTGTGAATGTATTAATTTCTTACCCCTTCACATTAAAAGATATAGTTTAAATAATTTTTGAAGAGCTTTCAAGGCAGCATTCTGTCCTGAGACTCTAGCCTGTGGACCTCTGGCCACTGAAACTTTGCAAGTAAATCAATCAATTTAAGTAAAACTGTCTTTGTAAATAAATATCATTTCATTTTGAAGGCTTCAGGAGGCTTAAGTGACTTAATTTCCCTTTTTGCCTTTTTTTTTCAATTTTGAAACAGCACTTTCATGCTTTCAGAAAACAAAACAAAATAAAATCATGAGAGGAAGTAAAGCCTTTCCTCTCCATGTAGTGGTGGTGGGGATCTTGACACAGTGTCAATTTTGAAAAGTCCTGGAGGGGCATATGAGGTCTATTCATCACTAATCTCCCACCCCAGATGAACAGGAAACAGTAAAACAGGCTGATGCTAAAAGTGGAGGTTTTCAATTAATGATATCTAGAACTATTGTTGAATTAAATTTATTTGTGAGTAGAGATGATAAAAGTTTAATTCTACTTCCAGCTAATTGCAGAAGGGCAGTATTTTAGATGTCAGGTTGTAGTCTGAAAATATACAAAGGAACTGTTTGAAGTAAATGGAATCTGTGTATGCTGTTGACAGAAGTGAGATTTTAGCCCTATTTAGACATGTATAAGCATTCCATCTATAACATTAAAAATAGAAAGAAACCTTTCTCTCTGCCCCTACCATTATGACTGCATATGCAGTATTTGGATTATTGTTTTGATAATTCAGGATTCATGGTTAGTGGTGAGGTGAACTGAAACACAAAATCGTCTGGAGGAAGTGGCAGCACTCAGCTGGGCTTGGAACCTTGGTCAGACCTGTTAGGACTTGGTTGGGTGGGCTGTAATCTAGATTGAGAAGCCAAAAAAAAGTCCCAGAAGCAGTCAGTAGCAAACTAGTTCTGCACTGTTGCATAAATGTGTCCATGTAATCCCCAGGAATCAAGGTCAACTCATTTTTGCCATTAGAAGATATATCTAGAAAGAGTGCTTGATTTGTTTCTTACATGTTTGATCCACCTAATGACCAGATTTCTCTAGCTAAAAATGCCACTGCAAATATATTTTGACCTTACTTGTAATTTTGCTGAAATGCCAACAACAGACTTTCTGAGTGAGGCCTCATTAATATTAACCAATTTGCTACATTAATCATTAAAGTAAAGGGTAAGGAATATTCCAGCTGGACACTTACACTGTCATGTCTCTGGAAAGATTCTGCTTAAGAACAGCAGTTTCTCTGTCCTTTTAGTGTCTTAAAATGGGCTTTTGTTTTATGCATTTTTGTTAACCTCTATTATCTCTTTTTTATATATCTAAAAATGAGAGGTTAGTAAAAGAATGACATGGGTAAACAGCTCATGTTAAGATTATATCAAGAGCTGGATCAGGCTGAAGACCCATTTGATCCAACATTCAGCTGTCGCTATGACCAACTGAATAGTGGAAAATTTGGGAGCAAGACATGAGTCCAAAAACATCCTTCCATTAGTGTTTCCACTGAGGCCTGACATTTGCAAAGCAGTTTCCCATATATTTTCTGGAAGTAATATATATGACTACTGCCACAGTACTTAAGATATACTGTAACATTACTGGGAAAAAGATCTGCATTTAGCAAAGATAACATTGCTTAGGAAAATTAACATATTTTAAATTGTGGAATAAGCTTAAAGTGGTTCAAAGATGACCTGATGTTATAGCTGCCATTCACTTCAGGGAGACCTGATGCTACTTAAAACCCAAATAATGGACTAAATCTCCTGGTAGAAACAGTAGATCCAGTCTTCAGCAATATGAGTTACTTTAGATTTGCAGAGAGCATCTGGGATCCCTCTCTAACTGTGATTTCTGTTATTGTACCAGGGAGCTAGTGTGAATCTTAGGACAGCAGATTGTGTATCTCCTCTCCATGAAGCTTGCTTAGGAGGACATGCTGCTTGTGCCAGTGTTTTATTAAAACATGGGGCCAACGTAAGTACTCAAAGACATCTAGAGTTACAGTGCATGCAAGAAAGAGAAATAGTTTGCTAGAGAGTGCATTGGTAGCTTAGGAGTGTAAGCTGTGCCAGTGAGTCCCCTGCACACTTTTTCAACTATGCTGGCCCAACTGATACTGGGAAGAACAATCATCTGATCCCTAATGGGGTAATTAATTAAAATCCAAGTCAGGATTAATATCCTGGAAGTGCGTTTGCTATCTGTTTGTTGCTACTGATTGGTGGCACCTTCCTTTTGTGAAGAAGGGGATTAAAATTTCCTTGACAGCTGTGTCCTCTCACTTCAGCTATGTTGGAACAGGGTGAGAAATGTACCTTCTGCCAATGCTCAGAAACTCTCATTTGTACCCACACAAACATACACACCCACTTAGGGCTGACATTAGCATTTAAAGTAGAGTTCAGATCCTGTCTTGTCTTCAGTCCAATTAGTGGCATAGATTCATTTTGTACTAGAGAGTATTATATGGCAGGAAAATGGTGGAGGTATTTTGATAATAAAAAGTTATTGCAGGGCCCTTTTCCTATTTTGGTTTAAAAGTTTCCAACATGCTTTACAAATAAAACATTACATTCCTGGGGGTTTTTTTCCTTCAGGTAAATGCAACTACTATTGACTGGAACACACCTCTGTTCAACGCTTGTGTCAGTGGTAGTGTAGACTGCTTGAACTTGCTACTACAACATGGAGCCAGCCCACATCCAGTGTGCGACCTGGCATCCCCCATCCATGAAGCTGCTAAAAGAGGTAAATTTGTCAGTGTATGTGCCTGTATACTATGAACAAACATAGTATTGCTGAACAAACAAAAAATGGGTACAACTTTGTTGATGATGTATTCATTGTTTCATTCTACATGAATTCTATAAAAATCCACAAATGTTGTCTGCTTGTTGTATAAATGTTATATACCCAAATGTTGGCTGTCTGTTGTTTAGTCCATAAAACAAATTTCTGGTGTCTTACAAATAATGGTGTCTGGGCTGGAGAACCTGTGGTCCCTCATATGGTGCAGAATGGCCATTCCCAGTAACCTCAGCTGTCAAGAGCAACGCTGAAGGATGGTGAGCACTGCAGTTCATCTGGAAGGCCCATGAGTTCCTCATCCTTCATTCATAGTATTATAATTTCCTCTTTGATCAGATCATTTTTACATCACTACCATTTTCATATCTCCACCCACCACAGGTTTGAAATGCTGAAAAACATAAAGCTAAAATCAGGGCTCTGCCCTGAGCTACTGCAAATCCCGCAGCAACAAAAATTCCTATACAGTGGTACCTCTAGTTACGAATGCCCCTTCTTACAAATTTTTCAAGATACGACCAGCTCCGGCCCCAAAAATTTACCTCTACTTGTGAACTCCGCCTCTACTTACGAACGGGATCCGCGGCCATTTTCCCTGCTGCCCCGCGGTCGCGGCTTCCTGT